CTGACTGTTAGATCAGAGTGAGGTCAGATGAGATTATGGCTGACTGTTAGATCAGAGTGAAGTCAGATGAGATTATGGCTGACTGTTAGATCAGAATGAGGTCAGATGAGATTATGGCTTACTGTTAGATCAGAGTCAGATCAGATGGGATAATGGCTGACTGTTAGATCACAGTCAGAGCAGATGGGATTACGGCTGACTGTAAGATCACAGTCAGATCAGATGGGATTATGGCTGACTGTTAGATCACAGTCAGATCAGATGGGATTATGGCTGACTGTTAGATCACAGTCAGATCAGATGGTATTATAGCTGACTGTTAGATCACAGTCAGATCAGATGGGATTACGGCTGACTGTTCGATCACAGTCAGATCAGATGGGATTATGGCTGACTGTTAGATCACAGTCAGATCAGATGGGATTATGGCTGACTGTTAGATCACAGTCAGATCAGATGGGATTATGGCTGACTGTTAGATCACAGTCAGAGCGGATGGGATTATGGCGGACTGTTAGAGCAGAGTCAAATCAGATCAGATTGTGGCTGATTTTAGATCAGAGTGAGATCAGATGAGATTAAGGCTGATGCTAGGCCTGTGTGAGATCAGATGAGGTTATAGCTGACTGTTAGACTACACTAAGATCAGATAGGATTATATCTGATGTTAGACTACAGTGAGATAAGTTGAGATTATGGCTGATGTTAGATCAGAGTGAGATAAGATGACATTATGGATGATGTCAGAGAAGAATGCTGAAGTGTTGCTAGTTGACAGATCATATACTCGAGGTTAATTTCTCTAAACACACACTGTGATTAGAAGAAAACTTAACAAGGGAATTCCTTTTTTTTAAATCCCGCTATATAGCTATTCACTTGACTCCCCCACCGCCCACACACACACACACACCCGTTGGCTTCATCGCCGGGGTGACAGTATTTGGGTCTGTCTTATTTGATCGCATCAACACTTTCAGGGCTCCTTGTTGGGGAGCAATGCTAAGCCATTTTATGTGGCGCAAGTAGCCTAGTCACAATCATGACCTTGAGCTCTCCAATGAGGGATGCTGAATAAAGGTGACGACCCCCCCCCCCCCTCCCGCCCCAGCAAAGCACCCAACCCCCTTCCCAAATCCTCCATCGTCTTAGGGTTCGTGTCTCGTTTCTAAGATTTCTCTTCTTCGTTTTATGCAATTGGGCTATTAGGCCTTGGACCGAAACGTTCGATTGTTTGCGAGTGTATCGCGGCTTCCCACACCCACCCTCTCTCCCAACTACAGTAAATATTGTGTTCAGTGAAGTCATTTATACCAGCTTGACTACAGACGCAGCTAGTTTAATCATGTATCGATTCTTATTATCTGAAAACAACATTCACCGAAGATGCGGAAAATAGATGAACAAATTCCCGTTGATGCAGTAAGGCAAACCAAGTTTGAGGACAGCTAGCGCACTCCCCCCCCCCTCCCTCCCCTAAACCTGTCCTCCTCCTCCTCTAAAGCATAAGACAAACCTTGAGCAGCACAAGCGAAAATCGCATACACATTATAATCATCTCCACTCTGTGCAACCAGTGCCAGATATGGTCACTTCCAACAAACTAGGACAGAAAAGTATGAACGAAATGAGATGTTTGGGAAGGGCCGTAGGAGTGACCAGAAGCGATCAAATCAGAATAGAAAAGGTCAGCACAAGACCAGTGTTAATTTACACGCAAAGGCAGCAAATAAACTGGTTTGAACAAGTATAGGCCCGGCTCGCTAGCGTAGCTGATTAAACCTGACTTCTGGTGACAAACTCCTTGTGGTCCGGGTTCACGCTCTGGGGTAGGCAGAAAAGCAACATTTCTCCCAGATTTAAGGTATCTTACATGGAATCATTGCCGAAGGGTTGCGATAACCATAGTACCGAGCCAAAGGTTTCTATATATTATTATTTTTTTAAAACACTTATAGAGAATGCCTCGTGACCATACGAGACATGTACCACAAGAGGGGCGTAGAGCACAAGGTAGGTGAAAAACAAGATGGAGAAAAAACATCAGAGAAACTCTGCGAAAGCACAATGTCGGGGCGGCCAGAGAAGCAACAAAAAAAAAGCAGAATTCGATATCTCCCTAACAACAAGTGGTGAAAGAGGGGGTGAAAAAGAAAAAGAAAAGAAGAAGATAGATATTTATTGACAACCATCACGGTAATTTACCAATTTTTATGTTGAAAGTGGCTTGCTGATAACAGGCATACACAAGACTGTAGGAATCGTAGTCAGTAGCCACTATTACGTATCTGGTTTTGTAGAAGTGTAGGGCTGTGCAGGAATATATCACAGGTTTTCAAAACCATCACACAGTTTTTACTAAGATTTAATTATACCCTGCTTACATGAAAAGACACAATGATTTTTACAGCTATCACAACGTTTTTCTATGACGCAATCATAACATTTAACTATATATATAGACATTATATATATATATATGTCTGCATATGTGTTAGTTCTCCGTATGTATGAGTGTTGTCTATTGACACTATATAGTAAAACAAATATATGCATATGTAGCAATCACTGAGCAGACTGCCACTTTGATCACAGTAAGCTATGACAGCCTTTCGATGCTTCTTCGCATAGTCCACGATGTGTGGCGCTGGTAGTCATGTCTATCCACAACTTACTTTCAATAAGCTCTGACAAAGCAATCTTCCATTTCATGGCATCAAATTGTCCAGCTTGTGCTCTCTGTTTTTTCTCTGCCTTTTTCCTACTGTTACCTTGTACTCCCTATTCTCCTTTTTAACTAACTAACCAACTAACTAACTAACTAACTAACTAACTAACTAACTAACTAACTAACTAACTAACTAACTAACTAACTAACTAACTAACTAACTAACTAACTAACCACCAACAACTAACTAACTAACTAACTAACTAAATAATTAACCAACTATCTTACTAAGTGGCTAACCAGTTAACTAACTAATTCACTAAGTAACTAATATTTTAGCTAGCTAGCTAACTAAACTAAACTAATTATCTATCTAATTAAGTAACTAACTATCTAACTCACTAACTATCCAGCTAACTAACTACTTCACTAAGTAACTAATTCTTTGGCTAGCTAGGTAACTAAACCAACTATCTATCTAATTAACTAAGTAACAATCTAACTAGTTAACTATCTAGCTAGCTAACCAACAATCTAGCTAGCTTCATTTTCAAAACATGCGCTTAGGAAATTGTTGATATATCAGGTAAGGAAGGTAATGAGTAAATAATAACAAACTAATAACTAAAAATAATAACTAACTAATAACAAACTGACAGTGTTGGCCAAGAGAAGCGGTTAACACCGATGATTCCGACAGGTTTGCAATAATTCCCTCCTGTCGAATCATAACTGGAGTTTGCCAATAGAAAAAGCCAAACCTGAGGATTAATAACGATTTCCTTAGTTAACTGTAATAAATATTATTGGTACAGTTTTGTTTAAATCGGAGGGAAAGATGTGAATAAATAAACCTTAATATGTTCTTAGTGGTGATATACCGTAAAACTAACGAAAAAGCAAATAACTCGTGGATTAGTAAAAAAAAAAAAAAATTGGTAAATAATTAAAGTAGAACCCAAATTATCCGGCTGTTTTTATCTGGCTTTGTGTTATCTGGGCTATGTCCACTCACACACACACACACACACGCACATAAAAACATTCTCGGCAGTGAAAAGGGAAGATGGTAAAATGCGCGTAGGGGTAATCTATCCAGGTTGTTTTCAAAAACTAAAAATATGTGACTCTTTCAACTCAGGCCGAACGTTTCAAGTGTAATTACTTATTTTTTAACAGTTTAAAAAAATTTAAAAAATTGTTGCAAGTTAAAGTATGATAATATTTTGTTCAATTTTAAATGTATATATTATATATAATATATATATATATATATATAATATATTTATATATGTGTGTGTGTGTGTGTGTGTGTGTGTGTGTATGTGTTCTCCTACTCTACGGTATACATTATTTATTTTTCTTGCAGTTAAATTAGTAGACGTTTTATATATATATATATATATATATATATATATATATATATATATATATATATATATATATATATATATATATATATATATGTATATATATATATATATATATATATATATATATATATATACCTATATATATATATATATATATATATATATATATATATATATATATATATATATATATATATTACATAATTTTGTTATATTTTGGACTTCTGGTTTGTTTTCGTGATAAATGTTTACAACATACGGTACAATACATAGAACATATTTAGAATTAATGAGCTTTACTACCAGGTCAGAAATGTGAATAAAAGGGGGTTTTTGTACAAAAGAAGGTCTTTAATGATACAGATGAGGTTAAAAAAAACTGGGCATTTATAGAACTCCTGCATATCTAGCTTTTGTTTTCCGGCCTATCCTTTGCCACATTAGGCCGGATATTACAGAGTATTGTATTGGAAAAAGACATGCTACAAGTTTAAGGGGGAAAGGGGTAAGGGGCCCTAAGGACAAAAGGAAAAGGATGCCCGTTATGACAACCGATAATATAAAGGACAGTAGAGGCAGATCTAGATAAGAGAAACTATCTCAGATAAATGCGGCGTCCGTGGCTTAGGTGTTACGAGTCCGACTCGTAATTCAAACGTACCGCGATCGAAACCCACTGCTGTGGATTTTTATCATGGAATAGGGCGTCGCAGCTCGACTATCTTTACTTACTTACAATACTTATGGCTATATATATATATATATATATATATATATATATATATATATATATATATATATATATATAAAGCATGACTTTTTATGTGTGCGAGTGTATGCCTGGGTGTGTATCTGAAGAAAACTCGACAAAACGGACAGAAGGCACACAGATCCAAACGATTCAATAAAAATGGGGACCTGGAATACAATGGTTATTATAAAAAGTAAAATCAAAATCCCTACCAGTCGTAATGCCTGATACCATTTGTTGAAATCATTACTGTCTCATTGTTCACCGGAATGTAGTCAATGGTCATGCAGTACAGGTGAGTCAGGTAGGGGACGTCAAATGCTTCCTCAACATACCATCGTCCCCTATGCTGCAACAAGATCCAGAGTAGGTTATGCGTGGCCTGTCTGTCTGTCTGTCTGTCTGTCTGTCTGTCTGTCTGTCTGTCTGTCTGTCTGTCTGTCTGTCTGTCTGTCTGTCTGTCTGTCTGTCTGTCTGTCTGTCTGTCTGTCTGTCTGTCTGTCTGTGTGAATGTCTGTCTGTGTGAATGTATGTCTGTGTGTCTGTCTGTCTGTGTGTCTGCCTGTCTGTCTGTCTGTCTGTCTGTCTGTCTGTCTGTCTGTCTGTCTGTCTGTCTGTCTGTCTGTCTGTCTGTCTGTCTGTCTGTCTGTCTGTCTGTCTGTCTGTCTGTCTGTCTGTCTGTCAGTCTGTCTGTCTGTCTGTCTGTCTGTCTGTCTGTCCTGTCTGTCCTGTCTGTCTGTCCTGTGTGTGTATTTATGTATGTATGTATGTATGTATGTATGTATGTATGTATGTATGTATGTATGTATGCATGCATGCATGCATGCGTGCGTGCGTGCGTGCGTGCGTGCGTGCGTGTGTGTGTGTCTGTCTGTCTGTATGTATCTATGTATGTATGTGTGTTTGTATTGTGTGTGTGTATATGTGTGTGTGTGAATACCTATAACACACATTACAAACATATAATAAAAGTACCATTTATTTTATTACATATTAAAATCGTTTATCCAAACGTAAGTCTGACTTCCAAGAAATTATTTTACGTCCTTTCATACCTACTCTGTGCTACTAATCATAAACACCGACATTATCAAAGGCTAATCTAAATGAAACCAACACCTGTGAGGTAAGCAACTTGAGGGAAAACCCACTAACTTTGTCATCTAAGACCGAAGGAGAAATGATCTATCAGTCGGACTATCCGAACAACACCTTGCACCAAATTTATAGACAAGCAGATTATCACATGGTTTAATCATCTCGTTATAATTCAGCCTCAAGAAATACCAACACAGCGCTAAACCTCAGTAAATCTAATGTGAAAACAAGTGGGCGACCTAGGAGGAAAAGGAATGATAGCATGAAAGACATTCTGCGTCGACAAGGAAGGACAATAGTCAGTGTTACACAACGAGTCCAGAATTGCGAACTGTTTCTTCACATGACGTTTAACAATTGTAGTTAAAATTGTGATGAAAATATTAAATCGTCGTCATTATCATATGTGTGTCATAATTCGACTAAGGACAGTGCACAAAAGACTTTGTCGATTTATTTTCATGGAGATGTATTCCAGCAGCTTGGCATCTTCTTTTTCTTCGAATTTACCATCTGTAAAGTGGGACGGAAAATTCTAGTTGTTCGTCCACTTTTGGACTGCAGTCCTTTTCCAGAACTTGAGTGTTACATGTGCATCCTTTTGACAGATCTGACTATCCTACAAACAGACGGTTGGTTCCTTCAATCTCAGGCAAATGCACTTAGACTTTGAAGGAAGCTCCCAATTAGTCGACTCTTACGACATGCTTTTGGGTAGGCAGTGGGTCTATTATTGTCTTCCCTATAACAGTGCCCCGGAAGCTTGGCAACTGAAAATGCTAAGCATATACTCCGTTGCAGCAAACTGTATTGTGCTAACAGAAAGGCCATCTGGTCTCTGTCCTCTAAATCACACACACACACAAACACACACAACTATGACCATAGTGAGATTGGGACTGCACTATAGCTTTCATCAAGACTACTGGTGTCCTGATATAAGGTTCACTGACACATGATTTAAAAAAGATCAAATGCGCCCTCTTTTATATTGTATATTACTACTGATCAGCTTACCAAATTCCAGTCAAAATTCTCCTGTCCAGGCACTTCCGGGCATGTCCCGTACGACACGACCATATTGGCGGAAGATGATGTGGTCAACCATCCAATGGTCAGTATACAAAATGCCAAGAACATCTTTTTGTTTAGGTATTTCCACAAATCTAAGGTTTAAAATGAAATTTGAAAGGGAAAAAAAGACATCAAATTTACACGTAGATTTAATCCTGTACCTTGGAATTCAGTGAAGCGAGTTAGAAGGCAAGTGAAGATGTGCCTGAACAAGACTTGATTAGATAAAACTAAGCATCACCAGTCAAGGGGAGTTGCAAATTTGTAGTATCAGAGGCATTCTTCGCCGTGGGAGTTAATAGTTTCCATTGTCATAGTAAAAGTTATGGGGTTCTATTGTCATGGGAAAAGTCATGGGGTTCCATTGTAATGGTAAAAGTTATGGGGTTCCATTGTCATAGAAAAAGTTATGGGGTTCCATTATCATGGGAAAGGTTATGGAAGTTCCATTGTCATGTGAAAGATTATGGAGTTCCATTGTCATGGGAAACAAGAATAGGCCAATCACCCATTAATAATCCTGCCGTAAATGCGACTAATTAGCGCTGCTTTCTAAGAAATCAGAGTGAATCTACCTGAGTGTCGAGGAACCAACAGTCTGTATGTACAAATGCTACAGATCTTTTAAACAGATGTACATACAAAACTCAAGTTCTAGACCAGGACCAAAGTCCAGAAAACGCGAACAACTAAAACTTTCTGCCTGACCGCTAAGAAAAAGAAGGAGGAGGAGGAGTAGGAGAAAAATAAAAAGAAGAAGAAGTAGAAGAAGAAGAAGAAAGAAGGAGGGGAGAAGAATAAGGAGGAGGAGAAGGAAGAAGAAGAAAAGAAAAGAAGAAGAAGAAGAAGAAGAAGAAGAAGAAGAAGAAGAAAAGAAGAAAAGAAGAAGAAGAAGAAGAAGAAGAAGAAGAAGAAGAAGAAGAAGAAAAAGAAGAAGAAGAAGAAGAAGAAGAAGAAGAAGAAGAAGAAGAAGAAGAAGAAGAAGAAGAAGAAGAAGAAGAAGAAGAAGAAGAAGAAGAAGAAGAAGAAGAAGAAGAAGAAGAAGAAGAAGAAGAAGAAGAAGAAGAAGAAGAAGAAGAAGAAGAAGAAGAAGAAGAAGAAGAAGAAGAAGAAGAAGAAGAAGAAGAAGAAGAAGAAGAAGACACACTCTTCTTCTTGGACATTACACCTTCGGTGAATCGGACAAATAGACCAAACGGTACTAGGTAGGTGATGTGATCAACATCATGCGGGGTGCCTTAACGTCCCGGTACATTACCTGGTAAAAATTTTAAGTTGATCAGTCCTAGGATCCAAGGTCAGTTTTAAACAAAATCCTCTTGATGTCGATTTGAGCACTAGACCTTTTTGGTCGACAGAAAACAAGACAAAACACAGCATAACTGGAAACAGAAATGAACTAGACCCGAAATATTTGTCAAGCTTCATCTTTGTACAGTCCGTATCGTTTTCTGCCTTGTGTACTTTCAATCAGATTCTGCCACATATGATCTTCCATGCCTCGATGACAGTATCTTCCATTTCTGTCTACTTCTGCTTCTTTTCCCTTCTCATGCTAACAGATGGGTATTTTGAGAATATAACAAACGGAAATGGTAAAAGGAGAAGAACTGTATAATAATGCAGGGCTGAAGGTGTCCAGTGTGTTGATTATTTGTCGGGGCTACAAACATTGCAAGCCACACCGAATTTGGGAACTAATTATTAAAATTATCCCCATTTTTTTTAGATTGATGTCAATAAATACAGAGAGAGAGAGAGAGAGAGAGAGAGAGAGAGAGAGAGAGAGAGAGAGAGTGAGAGAGAAGAGAGAGAGAGACATACGCACAATAGAACAATAGACATGACAATATTCAATTCAATCACAAGAAATTAAATGTCAAAAAAATGCCACGCTGATCGTAAAATATGCCTGCATGTATCAAAGAATGTTTTACTGTTACTAACCCAGAAGAACATAAAAACTGACATCTAATACCTAAAAAGACAGTTACGTTGTTTAGTAAACTAATGAATCAGCAATACTGTATAGATGTCGTACATAAAATAAATTTTTGAACATAGTAAGTAAATCAGGATGGCGGAACTGAAAGATATATTAAAATGCGAATACAACATACACAAAGAGATTTCGTAGCATTAGTAATTGTGTGGACACCAAAAGAATTTAAAATTAAGACTAAACTTAAACTCTTTCATTTTAAAGAGAAATCAGTACTGCTTATGAAGCTGAAACATGGAGAACGACTAAAATAATTACTAAAAAACTAAAAATATTCAGTGACTGGTGAATGCACATATTAGATGGAATTTAATGTTATGATATAATCATTAATGTAGATCTTTGGGAGAGAACTAAACAAGTTCCAGTGGCTCAAGAGTTTAAGAAAGGACGCCTCGCGTTAGATAGGACACACAGTTTAGAAAACCTGAGAACAATATAACTAGAATGTCTTTGCACTGGAACCCATAGGGGGCATAGAATTAAAGGCAGGACCCCACCTTCCCCCCCACCCCACCCCCACCCCCCCCCCAAACAAACAAACAAAAAACAAGGAAAGGGGAGCTAGAGAGTGAAGTTAAAAAGATGGGGATGACATGGGGGGTGAGCTGCATGCAATAGCGAAGGATAGAACGACTTGGCGTGAGTTTCCAGAAGGTCAGTTTTCAATGGGGGTTAGAAGGCAGAAGAATAAGTAGAAGAAGAAGAAGAAGAACAAAATGAAGAACAGGAAGAAGAAAACTATATAATAAGACAGTCTAGTAGTTTAGTAAGCAAATGCATCAGCAATACTACAAAGACTAGCACATAAAATAAATTATTTCACACTTCCCACTGCCTATGACTGCATATTTAATACTTCTACGGATCCTGAACAAAAAACAATATATATATATATATAATATATGTTGTTTCAGAGCACATGTAGATAGATACAAGCAAACTGCATCTTAAATGAGGCGGTTAGAAATGATGATCACAGAAGACCTTGCAAAAGTTAAATGTACCTCTTAAATAGATATGATGTAACTAGTTTCACAACTCAATACTTGAGCTTTGTCGAACTATCAAACAGAAGTGTAATAGTCATTAAACATTAGCACAATTGTGTTGTTGTGCTGTAAATGGCTCGTCGTCTATTTCTCCCTTCCACTTAATGTCATGCAATCCTTTTGATGTCAGGGACAGAATTCAGTTCAGGGCCTTTGTCCTTTCTTATCAACGTTCATTTTAGGGTTTCCTTCGAACATCCTCATTTCTTTAGTCGTTTTATTTACCATTTCAGTGACTGCTTGGCGATTCTCTGCTCGTTTCTTCTCAGGGTGCGTCCAATGTATGGCCGTCGTTTTATTTTATAGCTGTTGTTGCCGGTGCTTGGCCAGACATTTCTATAGTTTATTTTCTTCCCCCTTTTGAATTCATCCCAAAATATAGCATTACAACAACAGTATAAAAGACTCTAATGCACCTGTGTATGTGTTTGTGTGTATATAATTTATTATCTCAGTGTCTGCAAAGACAAACCCTTACCTTAATCATGCAAACTATTTTAATTATAAAGGAATGTCTCAGATTCTATCACTCACTTTAAGAGCTCCACGTTTAAACAAGTGCAGATATCTCAAACAGCTATGGCTTGTCAAGCGAATGCACTTTGATTACTCAACCTGGACAATAAACAGCACAAGGAACACAACTTGTCAACTATTTCTAGCTTCCCCTTGCCCACTCCATGTAGAGGGGGTACTGAACTTTAACAATTGCAGGTACACAGCAGTGTTAAAATCGCTGACAAAAGAGAATGTTTATCGATATTGTAAAATCTGGTATTTACCAAATGTTCAGTATTCATCATGACCAGCTGTTGGCAGATTATCAGCGAGGTACGTGCTGGCCAGAAAACACTCGAGAAAACGAGTTAAAAATTTTATTAGCGCTTGTAATTTTTGGGTATTTTTGTTGTTCATTTAGGCATACCTTTTCTTTCAAAGATTTATTATTAATTATACTTTATTCTTCTCGGTTATTCATAAAACACAAAACGCAGCAGTCTGGTCACGCTGATGTTTTATGGCTGTTGGCAGTGCCGCTTTTATTGTGGTTCATGCTTGAGAATGTTAATTTTACAGGGATTTTTCTGCTCATTAATATTTGTTTTCGTGATATTAAAAACCAAACTCGACAGTACGGTACATTTGTTTTTGAAGCACTCACACGCCATAAATGCAAACGTATAATCTGGCTAAACACGTTTGGTCTGTATTGTTGTTGAACAGATTTTAAACACCAGGTAATAGCCCAAGTGGAGATAAGCAGAGGCCCACGTGAAAGTATCAGTCAGATCGATTTGAACGAAACGAAATGCTTAGTCACTTGCAGGCAAATAATATCTAACTAAAATGTGTTGTGTATTATGCGCATTGTTGGAGTCTGGGGGATGGGTGATTGAAGAATGTTGAATTCATGTGTTAGGCTGGTCATCAAGCTTCATGGTGGCTTGGAAAAGACGGTGATTCAGGGGGCAGTTTGTGGAAGGAGAGACAGGGGTCAACCACCAAGAATATGGATAGAGGACATTAAAGTAGCATTTCCATTGAAAGCACATGGGACCGGAAAACTGGCTAGGGAAAGGGATATTTGTGGCGTGCCGTGAAAAGAGCGACGTTCTGTAAAGGACTTGCTTATTGTAATTATGATGGTGACCATAGTATGCTGGTCATTGTCCCCCTATCCGTAGGATTAACACCTCATGGATGAGAATCAAACGGAAGGAGAAAATCCAGAAAACCCATTCAACCGTATAAACTGTTTCATTAAAACCGCCTACGCCTGTTGTTCAATAGTTTTGTACCCTCGAAGATTGCAACTGCATGAATAACATCTGAAGGATCTGAAGGTACAAATTCTAGCAAACCATTTTAACCGTATAGCCATATAGCATTGTTACATTGGAGCACCGAGGAGCGGCTGGCCGAAAGGTTGGAACGCTAAGCTCTCAATCTGGAGACCCGGGTTCGAATCCTTGGTAAAGCTGTAGATTTTCTCTGTCGCGGGGCAAAATAAA